ATTAATGTTACATGTGTCTTCAAGTAAATTCGTGTTAAATAGCAATAATGCTACATAGCATTATTCTAAATTATACCGTCATTTTTAGTACAAAAGTGTAAATTGAGTCTAAAATTATTTTGGCTTTATATGACCTCAAATTTGAATCAAGTAAAGAGTGATATTCGTATCACTTGCTGTAACCATTAATGTGACAATGAGATAATTATCATTAGATTGGTGATCATTGGTAAATAAAATAAATAATATTGCTAGGTTCATGTGATGTAAATTAAAATTAGTTTTTTCATAATTTTTGATAGAATTTGATGAAATGCAAGCTCGAAATTAATTGTTGATTTTATTTTTTTTAATTTAATTTAAATCCAAACCAAACAGGTTAGATAAACGAGTTTACCGACAATGACAGGGGAAAAAAGGAGAGAAACAAAAGTAATAAACTACTGGGAAATTGCAAAAGGGTCCCTTATATTTGCAAAAACTTAAATTTATCTAACCTTTAAATCTTGACAGTTCCATCCTTAATCTTTTGTACACGTACATGGACAAGAATCAATGGATGGAATTCATCCAAACTCAATAGTAAATAAGTACCTGACTAGTGCATGACGTAAATTTTTTAATTAAAAGGTCACATATCCCTTCACTTTTAATTAAGAAATTATAATTAAACGCCAATCTTCTTTCTATTGGCACCAAGTCTGTATATTTGCTAGCAAACAACTCCCCACCTACAGATCTAACAGTTTAAGATAAAGCGGACTGTCGAGAAGAAAATTTTCCCATTCATAATAATTATACATATTCAATTTTCTCACAGATTTACTGATTTAATAATTATTTTCAATAAAAAGTTCCTTCACTAAAATCTAAATGCAATGTCTGCATATCGGTGTTATTCGTGGCCAGAAAGATTGCGGAAACTTTATGCCTATAGATTATCAATTTGTAAGGAATTCGTCTATAAGTATTATTTTAAGATGAATACTATTATACAATGTTAATACGCACAGCATGGTTGTTTTAAGCTATCAAAGAAGAGAAGAAACAAAAACAATAAACAATTACGGAAATTTCAAAATGAACTATAATATTTGTAAAATGTGTAAATGCCTCTAACCTTCAAATCTTGACACCAAGGGCGGAGTTAGAAAATATTTTCAGTGCGGGCATAATTTAACCCAGGGTCGGACCCATATGGGGTCAAATGACCCCACAAAATTTTGCCCCCCCCCCCCTTTTTAACAATCTACTTTGATGCACTCGTCAAGTCAAAATATTGTTTTCTTAATACCATTTCGAAGTGTTTATGGCCTAATTTTTCAATCATTAATGACATGCGAAGGGTCAACTATACTAAAAGTTATGACATGTTAAAATAGAACGTTTGAAATTAGTATTTTGAGAATTTTGATAATATCCTAACTTTAAAAATTCGTTTGCGATCATGTGCTATCTGAATCCACAAATCGTCTATGTCATGTAAAAGTTTGTTTGAAAACTAGATCGTTTTCATATCGAATAGTCCAAACGGATATCGAAAATAGTTAAATATGTATCAAACGTATGCCTCAAAAAAGATGTCTAACTCATTTTTTTAAATTCAATTAATTATTATTTTTGCACAATAAATTTTTCAATATAATTTATATCATTTTATTCGAAAGTTTTACATGAAATATAACGTAAATTTTTTAGGATCGTTATGGACTAAATGCAATCTGAATTACTTTAGAATTATATTTGCTTTAAATTTGAATTTCATTTATTTCCTGAACTAAACTTGAATTTTATTTCAATTCATTTCATTTCTATATTCTATTTAATTTACTCAATGTTAGCTCAACATTTGCTAATGAAATGATAAACAAAAATTTATAAGTAGCAAAATTTATTTAATAATATTAATAATGATGTAATTATACGATGCTTTAAAATTGTCAAAATATATATAAACTTATTTTCATTGATATTATATTGTTTATTAAAAAAATTATTTTTAAAATTTTAATCCCACAATACTAAAGGTCTGGGTCCGCCCTTGATTTAACCCATTGTCAAACATTGTATTTTGATCATGAATTTAATGATGATAAAACTATAAAACGAAATCATGGGTTTTAGCCTAAAAATAAAACCCATGTGAATTAAAACATGTTTTTATTCCACCTACCCTATTGAAAAAAATAATAATAATAAAATTGTTTGGGCTTAAAATTTCAGTGCGGGCACATCTCAACGTGGCTCCACCACTGCTTGACACTACCATTCTTAATCATTCGTTTAGCTAAGCAAGTCTCAGAGGACGGATCCGTCCAAATTAATAGTAAATATGTAGAAGCCCGAGAAATAAAATGAAATTAGACTATTATTTTGTAATGATTTAGCACCACGAGCCTAGCGCATTTAAGAAATGACCTATGGAAACTCAACCTGTTTAAGATTATGAAAGCCCAAACCATAAGTTAATTAAAATTCCAACAATTTAAGATATTAAGTTTAAGTAAATTTGATTACAAAAATTTAATGAATAACTAGGTCGCGTTAATGGTCATTTACATGATATTTTATATAGGCAATCCAGATTCAAATCACCATGTAGATGTTTTTATAAATTTTTATATATGAATTATTTTTTATGGCTAAGAAATATTTCAAATTCTTAGTTAAAGATAAAATTTAATAAATTTAATGATAATACAACCCCCATTTAATTTTTCATTAAAAATAAATGTTACAAGAAGAGGAATGTCACTTTTTCAGTACAGCCCTCATCACATCCGAATTTACTCTTATTTTCTCTAAAAAATATATTTCATGTTAAGTTTAAGAGAATAATAAGGGTGAGAAAAAGAAAAGCTTTCTACACATTTTGTTCTATTATATTCAAGAAAATTCAAGGTAAATAGAAGTGCAAGGGTTTATTTCGTTTTCAAATTATGATTTTTCCGATAAATGTTTGAATGAAAAGGTACCTTCGGACATGGTGTTTCGGCACTACAACGATTTAAAGGATCATTCTCCGGCTCTACGTATTATGATAATATTATAGTAATTAGATTTTGCCAAAAATCCATACGTACGACATAATGAACCTTTAATTCGAAATTTTTAATTTGATAATGAAATGCATCGATGATATCTATTAAGTTTCAAACTCATAAGTTAATTCACTTCCCACAAGTTGAATGGATTTTCTTGGGGGCTTGGATGATGGTAGAGGGTGATGCAACATGCTATGGAGGAAGTCGGTGATTTAAAAATTTTAATTCGATCATGAAATGTTTACGTTTGTTTCTTTTAATATGGATTTCTATGGACGTTATATGTGAAACTATTTTAAGAATATTTCTTCATGAATAAGTTATGTTTAAAAGTAGATATGTGTTATAAAAGTTAATTTACAAAACACCTTTTACAAAAAGATAGAAACAAAAAAGAAGTGTTAGCAAATTAAAGTAGTGCTGTCTTTTAAAAATTTCAGTTTCTGCCTTGACTTCAAAAATTCATAATTCGATCGTTACTTGGAATTTATAGATGAAACCAATTGGATTTTGATAGTCTCATGGATTACTATTGAATAAATATGAAATAATGTGGTTTTGATGTCTGTGGAATTTTATATATCATTTTAAGTGAACTGCACCGATTTACCTTTCAACTAGGTCGCTGTTGGATTTTGAAAAATATTTTAATACCTCATATGACGTCGACGGAAACTAATTTTTGATTATGTCATATTATAAGGAGTTTCCTACTTTACAATTAAATTTGATGAAATTTTGAGGTCGATAGCTATGCGAACGGATTTATTTTGATACTTACCCTACGAGATAGAAACAAGAAAATAGTTTGTTTAGTTAGTGTTAGTGGAATTTTGGGAAATATTTTAACGCCTTATATGTCATCGACGGAAGCCAAATTTTGGATATATCATATTATAAGATATTTCATACGTTTCCTTAAAATTTTATGAAATTTTGACATTTATAATTATGCAAACAAGTTTATTTTAAAACTTACCGTGCGAAAAATGGAAATCAAAATAGATTACTCTCTTTCTTACTTTCTAAGTAGTTCACACATTGAAAACTATCATGCCTTTTATTTGTTTGCTAGATACGTACTTGCCACTATTCACGCAATAAAATAGGCATATGCATGGATTTGCTCGACTCTTTTCTTTTTTAATAAATGTTTTTGGAATTATGTTAATATTATGTTATTATCTAAAAGTATATTTTAATGGGAAATTCATTGATAGTAATTATATATATATAGTTCTTAAGGAATTTTTTTAGATTAAATTCTTAAATTAAATTATTATTTTAAATAATTTCTAAGTCTAAAGTTAAGGTACAATTGTTTGAGTGACGCTTTCGTACTAGCGGATTGGGGGTTACAAAATAGGTACGAGACTAGCGAATGATGTAATATTTTGTTTGAAAGTATGCTTAAGCCTTCACTTTTTATAACGAAATTACAATAAAATTTACTCCTCAAGCACTACATGCTCATCCTATGAAACAACTTCCAACCTTTAGATACAAAAATTATCAATAGAAAAATTACATGTGGACTACGGGTCAAAATTTATCTGACAAGAAATTTCGCTATCTCATGATTGTTATAATTATAGTTACCATGCATCGGTGCTTCGGTACTTTCTTGATCTTCAGGCATTGGATAGACGTCAGTCCATATACATGGTCCTACGACTTTAGGAAATGGTGTTTTTGATAAACATTCGTTCGAGCGAACGACAATTATTTTTTAATTAAAAATATTTATACGTATTCAATTTCTCAAACATTCACTTATTAGTTATTGTTAATGATTAATTTCCATCACTCCAACCCAAATGCTATTGGAGACTAATGGAGTTTTGGATCTATTTGCACTTTTTGCAAAGAGTATGGACTTTCGCTATAATTATCTCACGTAGTTAGCGCGTCTTGCTTCACCCTTTTCTGAGGGAATTTTGCTTATAAAAAAGGCTAAAATGAGAACGAAACCCTAAATCTGAAGAAGAAGAAAAGAGACCACTTCTCTCTCCTGAAGGTCTAATCTATCTTCAAAGCCGCCACCGGTCTAATGCTTCAATTTTACTCTTCATATCCGACGATTAGGTACCCATTTATGCATCTATTGCTGATCTATACAAATTTAGTTTCTATAATTGTGTTCAACTTCCATGTTAGGGATCTGGTAAGAATTTCTTCTGTATTGTTGAATAGAGGAGAGAAATTTTGATTTATATTCGTATGTTTTATGTTTTATGTTTTCATTTTCATTTTTTTTTTGGGATAAATAGAGCTTGGATCTGTTCTTAATTTGAAGAAACTGCAATATAAAATTCCCAATTGAAACCTTTTTGGTCAAGTCATAAAGAAAATGGGACTCAATTAATAAGTTGATTTTATTGGTTTTAATGTTAATGAAATGAGTATATCCTCAAAACCGCAATATGTTCATTGGAAAGATGTATAGTCGATCTCAATGAAAATTTGTCGACAACTTTGAAAGAGAAGTCAGATACAGGTCTAATTTTGTTCCATTCTTTTGTCTTTGCCAGAAGAAAATGGTGCTAGAGTTCTTCGTTTTCAAGGGGCTTGACAATTTACTAAATTTGGAAGGGAAGTCTTGTGTAGAGATGAATCACCTGGTGCTCCACTTGGAAACTGTTATGAAAGTTGGAGTTGCAAAAAATGATATAGCTGGAAGAAATCGTGATCTTGGCATGGGAGGCATAGGAAATGTTATTTCTCGATTACTCTACTTACAAGGTACAGGTCCTATGTATACAAAATTAGAAAATTCTTATAATGAATTAGTAGAACTATTTATTTGTTATTCTTTTTAAAATGGGTTCTGGCAAATGTCATTGCTAGAATTCCTGAATATGATATTAATTGTTTTTGTAAAATCATTGCATTATTTTAATGTTTAATACATTGGTAATGACTAGTTACCTCTTATTTCTAGAATGAGCTATGTTTTAGTTATAAACAAATATATAGACTATAGATCCACAAATTTCTTTGTTTAGAATTAACCTATAATTACTTTATGGGAAGGATTTCCTTTGGGGGTAAAAGTTGTTGATTTGGTAATATTTTTGTATGGTTCATATTTGCACAAATTGGAGCGTGATTGTACATTGTTTGAGGTGTTCGATTATACACTCAAAGATTTTGTGTTTAATTAGTGTTAGTAGGATACTTGATTCTTTGTTATTATCTTGTGAGCAATACTTAGTGAATAAGGTTGTGTTCAGCATTTTCTTATGTGTTAATGAATTCACGATCTACCATTAACGATTTAACAGGTCAAGTTATATTATGAAAACAATAGAGAGACATTTTTGTTTTCCCCCCTTTACAATGCTCCTTTTGTGATTTTTGTCTATATATAATTCCTTATTTACAGAGTCGTGGACTTGCTGAACCTGCGATCAGTCATCCATATCTCTCTCTCAATTAAAATCATTCTTGTGACCGGTTTAGTACTAATAGTAATAGGCCTCCATAAGCTGTTTCGAAGGTATTGACCGAGAAGGACCCACTTGAATGAAGAGGAGAGCCACGAAGAAGAAGCTGCAAATAATCATAATGGGCCGACGGAAGAAATCGAGCTTAGCGTTGTGGCTTCTCCGTCCGCCATGCTTGAAAGTGAGTGAGGTTTGAGAATTCCAAGAATTGACGTACTGATAAAATATGCTGAAGCTTCAGACATTCTCAATGAATGGCATGTCGTGTAATAGTCCACATATATACTTCTATATTTTAGGGTATTTGAATTTCATGATGTAGAACATTTATATTTGGAAATTTTCAGCATTTTTAGTTTAATTTTTATTTAAGAGAAAATCGAAACATTAAACTGTAACTTTTTTAAGGTATGTACACTCAAAGATAATCAAGTATCACAAGATAACCTTATTCGCACAGCTTGTTTAATTAGTGTTAGTAGGATTTTGGGAAATATTTTAATGCCTCGTGTCACTAATGGAAGCTAAATTTTGGATATGTCATATTATAAGACGTTCTCTACTTTTTCTTAAAATTTTATGAAATTTCGATATTGATAACTATGCAAATGAGTTTATTTTAAAACTTACTGTAAGAAAATGGGAAATCAAAACAGATTACTCTATTTCTTACTTCCTAAGTAATTCAAACATGGAAAGGTATCATATCTTTTATTTGTTCAGTAGATATGTATTTGTCACTATTCACGTAATAAAATAGGCATATACACAAATTTGCTCGACTTTTTTCCTCTTTAATGAATGTCTTTGAAATTATGTTACTATCTAAAAGTAGATTTTAATGTGAAATTCATTGGTATATATAAAGTCTCTTGTAGTGGAAAAATGATATTTACCTCATATATCGTGTTCTTTATTCATGGATTTTTTTCTTTTCCCAAGTTTTTGATTTGTTTTCATTTTAGCTCTCTTGTTAGTTTCTTCCATCTTGATTTCTATGTCTACTTGATCCTTTTCTATTAACATTTTAGTTTCTATTTCTCTAACTTTTCTATAATATTCCATATCTATACATCTAAATTCTCTCTCTCTCTCTCTCTCTCTCTCTCTCTCTCTCTCTCTCTCTCTATATATATATATATATTTTTTA